GAGAGAGAGAGAGAGAGGCCTCTCTCGCTGACTCATATTTGCGCTGCTCATCTCCAGAGCAACTTGAGTCTATGACAAAACATTTCCATTTCCATTTCCAACCACATTTCAATATTTTGTTTGCACTTGAAGGCGAGCACGGTTATTATTATTAAAATATTATTAAAATAGTATTATTAATTACAATTGAAAACTGGCCGCCAGACTGTCTGGCCGGCTGTCTGACTGACTGGCAGTTTGACAGCAACATAATTAAAATGTCGTGCCGTTGGCGTTTATGATGAAGTTGTGCGCGTGAGAGAACTCCATTAACAAACGGCGCAGTCGGAAACGGAATGGGAATCGGAATCGGAATCGGAATCGGACTGAAGCTAGAGCGGCACTTTCAGCTACCTTTGGTGAGGGTTTCTCAGTCATAATTGAAAATAAGTCAATAAGCCATGTCGAACACGTGTTTGGTTGAATGAATGAATGGGTTGAGCGTTGTAAAGCTATAAACAATTTTCATTAGAGAAACGTTTTCATTCTTATGCTAAAAAGCGATTCATATGCTGATCAATGCTGATCATGGCTACGCTTGTGTGACTTTTTTTTGGTTTCTTTTCTCGTTTTTTGAACTTTTGTCGGCACAGAAACGAGCTCAATAAAATGGTGTATACGAGCGGAGGGAGGGGAGAGAGCTTTATCTGGGATATATGTATATATGTATTTATGTATGCGCACACACCTTCATTAATTCGCTTTGGTAGGGAGCGATTTTCATTAAAAAGCCGTCAGCGTACAATAAATTTTGACCATTTTTTTGCTGAACTTTTTTTCACTTTGCCAGCGCCTGCTGAGCTGATTTCGCCCCGGCTCTTTATGGGCTTCATTATGGTCCCCAATCGGCTGTATGTATTTATTCTGCCCGGCCCGATCAGGCGACAGAACATAATTTTAACGCTCTTTATCGCGCCGCTCCGCTGCGCATGCGCCGCCGAGAATCGCTTGGATCGACACCCGATGCGAATATTGATTTATGTTTTTGGGTATTATTTTTTTTGCATCTCTTGTTTGCGATTCGAGTGGAGTTCTCAGTTTCAATTCGCTTGTTAACTATATCAGCACATCCATCGAACTTCATTTGCATAGAACAAAATGCGAAACCCAACCCAACCTCAGAAGCGACCCGTCGAACGACAACTTAATCAAAGCCAATCACTGATCATCATTTATCATTATCGCTAGGACGGGAAACCAGCACACGGAATGGAAATACAATACTCAAATTAACGTTTACTTTCCGTACTACGGATTACCAGGCGACTAACTGTTACAGCCTGTTCTTCTTTAAGATTCTTTCTGATTAGACAGCAGACTCCTTCCTATTGATATTCGCTGCTAAGCTGGCAAGGTTGGCAGTCGCTCGCCTTGAGCAACGTTCCATTTAATGGCATCATAATATAACATATTTAAGCTCAGATCTGTCTAGTATTCGAATATCTTCCACGGAAGTTCAAGCAGCAAAAGCCAGAACGGGATCGGGGAATAAATACAATAGAATCAGCAGAAGAAGTGCCAAAGGTGCAGCGACTCTACCAAGCAGGCGAAAGGGTAGAACGATACACTCTGAAAGGGTGTTACGATGGTCAAACAGAAGCAGCTCTAAGACCCACGCAAACTGCACCAAAGTGCCACAATGCCCCTCCTTGGGTGAGGGTAGCGCTCAGAATCATAATTCTTAATTAGCTTTTAAACTCTGAACTAGAAGCGGTCCGCGTCTGTCCCGAATGGGGAAACTCGTTTGTCCGATCTGCAATCTGCGATCAGCTATGCTGCCCCCTGTCCGGTGAGAATGACAAATTATGCATAATCCGACGGCCAGACGTGGTAGATGTTGTAGTTTAAGTCCGAGATTCACACAATTAACGGGCAAATTTATATATTTTTCACTCAGATATCTAACAAAATAATACTGGGCATGCCTTATGCATATGCATGAGTTTTTTCTCGACACGCTGGTAAAAAAGATTGTTGGAAGATGGCAGTTGACACAGCCACAGCCACAGCCACAGCCCGGTCTGGTGGGTGGTCTCTCCTAGAAGTATGACCACATGAGATCCAAAGAGCTATTTGCCACACTAGGGGATTGCTCATTCTGCCTGGAGCTCTTTTGGGGTGCTGCAGACTTCCAGGTATGCTCACGCCACACCTTGAGGGAGCTCAGGATGAGCAATCCACTGACCAGGCTGAAGCCCGTGCAGCACAAATTTAACCTCCAATTGAATCTGACTGGAGCAGGTGACTCCCAGCCGGGTTTAGTGTTTAGCACTGCATTTTTCTCTGGCAGCCAGGTGGTCAAGGCAGTCGTTGGCCTCCACACTGCCAGTCCATTGCAGAAGGATCGCTTTTGCTTATTCCGCATCTGTGTGTGAAACTTCTGCCAGACACTGGCCACGTTCTGCTGGCATCTGTGCAGCTGGGGTTCCACTTGCTGCTTGAAGTTCATGCTGTTGTCGTAGTGCTGCCGCGAGCTGGGCCTGTGCAGCGTGTTGTATGCCTCCCACAGCCTGGAGAAACGCTCGGAGTCGCAGCTCTGACTGTTGGCATCCGGATGGTACTTCTTGGACAGCTCAAAGAAGGCGCTCTTGATCTCCTGATCGCTGGAGTTGACGGGCACATTTAGCACTTGGTAAAAGTTCTCCGACTGACGGCGCTGCATGGTTCCTCAAGTTCTACTACAAATTTTGGCAAGTCCGAAAACGATACTCAAAGAGCATAATAAATCTACAAGAGATACGCTCGCAGTTACACAGAAATTTCTAATGACATTTTAAGCTATGGCAACGGGATATTTCGGTTGGAAAATCTATGGACAAAAGGCTAGGAAAGTGTCAGCAGTGGAAGGGCATGCCAAATGGTAAATAAACCCTGACTATTGTCACTTTTTTCCTTATCTTCAGCGTTGCCCTGCCCAAAATGTGCCTGACAAGGGAGCGACAAACTTTTTGTGTCAACCTCCGAGTGCGATAAAAGATTGACCCTGGACTCGCGCTTATGTGCAGGCATGGCCAATTCTGTAAACAGTCACACAATTGTGTTATGATTTGTGGGCCATTATCTCTTTGTTTGACCTTACGGAAGTGCCAACGAACTTGGCAATGAATCTTCCACGCATGGAACAACGCGGCGACGCGTGTGCTCTGAATAAAGGCAGCGCCGGCAGCAGCAGCTTACACGGCGAATTTAACCCAGAAATGGTTTGTGTGGGTGTCAAGTCGAGGACGAGAGTGAGAGCGAGAGCGAGATAGCGGCAGGGCGGAAGAGTGGCGAGGGCGAGAGCGCGGCGAGTTGTGACGCGGCGAGAGCGAGGGCGAGGGCGAGGCTAGTGGGTCATTTCTCTTCCATTGAACTCGGCTTTTGGCTGCTGCGTCAGCGTCAGCGGATTGTTCAAAATATTTGCACAGCGAATTATCGTAATTGCAATCCTCCAATTTCGCGCGAACTTCCATGACATACAGCACAATATTTGTCCCATTGAATTACTCATGAGAGTCACTCTTAGTGGGGGTCAAAACAAATCTACGAATTAGTGCGGCCATAAATTAAATTATAAATAAAGATGCGGCCGTTTTATTGTTAGCTGGTAGTGCTCATTGAGGCAGAGAGAAGTGTCGTTGGGCAAACCCACACCTTGAGCTTGACATCAGACTCCTCTCCTGGAAGATCTGCTAATTCGTTTCAGATGAGTGCGGCCCGCTTGACACCTTCTTACAGGTCTCTCTCCCTCTTGCCGGTGACTGCCAGTGGGCCAGGAACAGTGACAGTGACAGTGACAGTGACCTCGGAGTGAAGTGGAGTCAAAGCTGCTTCCACTATCGCAAAAAGCTGTGAAAATTTAATTGGAATTGACTAAGTCGCCGGGCCGGTTATTGATGGGACTGTCATTAGTATTTTTAAATGGTTTCAAGCAGTTTCGGTGCGGATTCCCCTTCTATTGTTACTAGTTCAGAGACCCAGCAAATGCCCTCCCATCCCATTACCAACGATTGTGCGTCACTGTGCCACTGTGGATGAGCATCGGAGCATCATTCTGGCCACAGCCCATATGTTAATTGACACACACAAGCCATCGACAGGTTCTCTACACGTTTCAGCCAGAATTACCATACATAAGGTGGGTATCGGGTGGAGGTTGGTGATGCCCGTGCCTGTGCCCGTGCCCGTGGCTGTGCCTGGACCTCTTGGCGAAAGCAAAACGATAATTGGAAACAGGTTCTATTTCTATTGAAGAATTAGCTGGGTCTGCTGGGTCTGCCTTTTGTGCCGTACCAAACCAGAGATTTACGACAAGTGGTGACTGGTTGTCTCCGCCGTACGCTGGCTCATTTGTCTGCTGTGGTCTGGCCAAATAAAATTTGCGAGCTGCGACTCTTTCTTTTAACATCTCTGGCTCTGCCTGCTGGAGTTTTTCATTGGCATGTCTGATGGCCAAGTTTATGAGTGGTTCTTCTGCGGCGGGCGGCATGCTGGGTCAATGGACATGAACGCCAAGAAGTCTGCGAGTGCCATGCCTCATCGATTCGCGTTGCTTGGTTTATCGAGTCACAGCACGGCATGCCCCATACATCGAATTTTTAAATTATTCACATGCCAAGTTGAAGGTCCATTCGATTGCCAGATTAAATCCACTTGGAGATTGTCCGGTGGATCAATTAAATCTAAGTAATAGTTGCCGGAGAACCGGCTGAAAACGGAAACACTCGGCAACTTAATCAAGTGAAATATATTTATTTAGTACGTAAAATACGTATTTAACATTTGCGATTTGCTCTTTAAGGTTCAAAGTGGAAAACAAATAACGAATTTGAGTGTGTGTGTGTGAGTTGTGAGGGTCTCCAGCACACTCGCTCTCATCGAAGCACTTGGATTTGCATTCATAAACTCATTTCAAATTCAGATCCTGCAGCCTTGGGCCACGTTCTCCGCCTTATTGTCGCTCCTTTCATCACTTTAGTCATACTATTTCCAGTCCTTAGCCTTATCCTACCTATCATTCAATCAGACTTTCCGTTGCTTTTCTTGGTTTCTTGTGGAAGTGAGTATTTGGAAGGTGCATTCGGTTAACTCTTAAGTCGTAAAGGGCACAGGGTACCAACTCCATTTTAGGCACTGATCAGCCAGGTCCGCAAATAGACAAATGTTGAGGCTGCCACACGGGTTATCTGCTGCGCAAATGCTGCAAGAGAAGAGCGAGCATAAAGTTTATTAGATATGCCGGCATAAAAAGTGATTTAACGAGCGGTGTACTCAAATAAAGTTCCTGCCGAGTGCGGCGACTGCGATGACTGCAATGCTAATTTGCATTTACAGAATTGCTTTTATGCTAAGCGGCCCGCCGTGCCCCACCCCATAAGCCGCGCGTTCTGGGGTCACAACCCCCCTTAATGAAAATGAAACGTATTCATGCCAAATACTCTTACTGGAATGGAGTAAACCATGCGGCTTTGGGTAGCGAATAAAGTAAATTAAAACCAAATCCATTAAATAGGAAACAAAAACCTTTTTACTCGCTTTCTGTTAAATAAATTGCTCAAAATGTGCACAAAACTTCAGCTATTTATAGAGCATGCTTGCGTCGGTTTGCTGTAGTCCTCAGGTGTACCAAGGCTCAGCTCCCAGCTTATTACGAGCAGCGGCAGACAGTGCGGGTCCTCGTAAAACCCAACCCTGAGCCCGTGAGCCCTGACAAATTGACAAATGGACTTGTTCACGTGAAAGAGGGAAAACTATGCTGGGGCATTTGTGGGGCATCTTTCGTTTTAATATGCCTTGATTAATTTACATTTTGGCCGGCAGTCGACAAACGGCATGCGGAAGCAGCAGCACCAGCAGCGAGAGCTTACGGGCATAATTGTAAATTTATTTGCATCATAAATTAAGTTTTCTTCACTTGAGTCCATTAAATATGCGATTTTATTTGGTGTTTTTCATCTAGGTTTTTATTGATTCAATGTAGCAGCCAGTGAAGCCCGCAATTAGTAGTCACTAAAACAGAAAGTGGTAGAGCTTGTAGTCACTTAACAGAGAGTAATATAAGTTGTTGTCTCACTCTGGCGCTTCCTGAAATTGATGAACGGCAAACCAACTTAACGGTGAATACGTATGAGATGGGGTTGAGTGACGTACATATTGTACAGTTGATTGATGGTCTATCGCAGGTACTCACATGTACTCACAACAGACACGAAGTCAAAAACGTTTCTTGCTTCTCTGCCGCTGCTGCGTGAGCCGAGCAATTGTACATGGGCTTGTTGTTGCTGTGACGCTGCGGCTGATCTCTGCGCATGGGCACGAAGCTACACGAAACTTTTGCGCTGTGCAAGGGCCAAAGCCACCAGAACTTTTTACGCTGCTCTTGTGGCGACTGCGCTGCCCGAGATCTTTGCCTATGCGCAGTGCACAAATATTCACCGTTATAAAAGTTAGGTTTCGACTATTTACTGCAAATCTTTTAGGCACCATGGCCTCGTACAGACTTCACTTTGAAAGAATTTGCTGTCATATGCAGTTTTAAGTTTAGAAAGCTGAAATGGCTGAATGTCCCCACTGTACGACGCTGCCGACCTCTGCTCTATGGAAATAAAAACGGTCACGGGTTTTGTTTAGTACATGATACATGAGTTTTATTTGTATTTTTCTTATATTCATCTTGTACCGATATACAATATATTTTTCGTAATATAATTTCACTTAAATTTTGGGTTTTCTTTATGTTTGCTTTAATGCTGGTTACACATTACATTTGTTTTTGTTTTTTGTTTGGTAGTTCCTCACTTTCTCTTGAGTTTAGCAATCGTATTACATTTAGCATTTAATTTGTGTTATATTTTTGTTTTACGGCTTTCTGTTTCTTGGTTTTTAGCAGAATTTTTGGGGTTTCGATTACGAGTATATGTAGTTATAGTATGTATATATATATATATATATATATATGTATGTATATATATTCAGTAAAATGATCCCTACATTTTGTATGCTCATGTCATAATTATCAATCTATATGTATCTATATTCATACATATATGTATAGTAATATCTTAAACAGCAATTATACTCTTGCGTATGCAGCTCCGCATAACTGCATTTCCTTTAGTTTTAAAGTAAGTTCTGCGACAATAATAATTATAATTAAATTGTTAACAACGGCTCTGACAACGTACTGGTACACACATAATACATAGAACTCTGCTTTTTGCCTTTTGCCTTATGCTTTTGCTTTTGCTTTGGTTCCGCTTTTGCTGTGTTTTTGCCTTGTCGTTAAGCCGATATTCAAATTCAAAACAGAGAATGAGGACCAAAACACTGAGCTGCCATTTAAGCCGTTTAGCCAGCTGGCCATTTGGCTACGTGTGTGTATGTGTGTGTGCTTTTGTGTTTGTTAAACTTTATGAGTCTCGATTTATTAATTTTTTGTCGAACTGCTCTTGACTTTTGCTCTTTTGCGTGGGCAAAAGCTGTCGTGTCGCATATGTTATTAATATTTATTTTTATTTTTAGTTGCTCTTAACTCTGTTTAGTTGTCTGATTTGCTGGACACACTACTGGTCTTGGTTAAATACATATTACTCACTTGTTGTGTGTGTGTGTGTGTGTGTGTGTGTGTGTGAAGGCAACTACAAGCAAAAAATGAATAAATCAAAAATGGGTACGAACAAAGTCAACGCAAAATGCTTGGCATGGTTAAAAGCTAACAGCTTAATTACAGTTGGTTTACTTATGTCTTGTAATGTATTGTATGTGTTTTTTTTTTTTGTGTTTTTACAGATACGTTTACGCTTTTAAGTTTTAACTTTTGTTTTTTATTACCACTAACAAGTAAGAACACATATTTAGCCACAATTTCGTTTTGGTTTCCCCGCCATTTCGGTGCGGTTCGGTTCTGCTCGGTTTTGCCGGGTTTTAGTGTGTGGTTTTTTTTTGCTGCTTAATTTTATACAAATTTCCTACTTAAAAAGTCATAAATCAGAGCCCTCTGGTGTCCGCTAGCCCACTATCCATTATCCTCTATCCGTTTATCCATTATCCGTTAACTGCTAGCCGTAGTATATAATTAAACTAAATAAACAATAGGCCATATATTGATATGTATTTGATTTTATACATAAAAAACTTGTATTCAATTTTGCTAAATCTTCCTCTAAGGTTTTATTATTATTATTATTATTCACTTATTTGTAATGCTAAGTGTGAGAATTGGTTTTTGGTTTCAAATGCATTTCTGTGCCTGGTATTCCTTATGTTTCTTGTGTTCTTCGTATTTGGTTTCTGCTTTCGGGATATTGTATTGGTATTGTTTAGCAATCAACATATTACATTGTACAGAGAGAGGGTTTTCTTTGTCTACCACCTATATTCGATTTTATTATCAGATGTCGTAGCTGATATAATTTTTTAACTTGTTTCTTAATACACAACAAACAAAAAACTTGAACTATGTTTTGGTTTTTCTTTGCTTTTTTATGCCTATTTCTGTTTGTTTCTATACAAAAACACAAACCCGATGCTGCTCGGATACTTAATGTGTGTGTGTGTGTGTGTGTGCAGTATATAAAGTCTGATAGTGTGTGTGTGTGTGTGTGTTTCAGTGTGACCAGCATGCTTTCATTATTATCATAGATTGGAATATGTTGTGTTATATTTTTACTCGTATAAATTCTTTTACAATTGGCAGACTACTACAGCAAAAGCACACTGCAACGTGTATGTGTGTGTGTGTGTGTGTGTGTGTGTGCGTGTGTAGGTACTATGCATGTATATGTAGATGGCTTTGGAAGAACCGCAACGAAGAGTACAAATCTGTATAAATCATACGAGTGGCATTTTGGTGGCGCCTGCTTTTGCGGAATGTCCAACCATGTCCCATACAATATAAAAAATTTTAGATCTATAAGCATAACACTTGGAATTTTGTTTGTCTTTCATTCGTTTTGCTCCTTTTTTGCTTCTAAGGCGAAATATTATATTGTCAATTCTTTGGCTTGAGCCGAAAACCATGCAAAATGACAACAAAAATATTCCTATTTTTCGGTTGAGGCGAAAGGAATTGGAAAAATATGTTTTTAGTCGTAGAATGAATATAGGTTCACTTTTCTTTATCGTTTTTTTCGTTTGCTCTTGTCAAAGGCAGAAGGCATAATACACACTAAATTCATATATATCTTGCTTACTACAACATTAACCCTAGGTCTGGGCCCGAGTGGACCCAAAGCCACGACTGTCGATCGGCGACCTGCCACCCAGCCTGGCCTGGAGGTTGGGCCAAAAACTGAGTGTGGTCCAGGGCAGCCTTGGCCTGGGGCCCACTCCTCGCTACAAAATGGATTAACTATCAAAGTCTAGTCTTGGGTTTTTTTAATCGTTTAGTTTTTAGTTTTTAGTTGTTTCTTTTCTTACTTTCTTTTGAGGCGAACGTGGTGCAATCATTTGGGGAGGGTAGAGGGATTAAAGCTAGTTTTTTTGTTGGATTTTGTTCACATTTTTATTCCGGGGTGGGACTTAAACAGTCCAGTCCCAAGTTTTAGACAAAGTTTTCTCATTTTGTAGTAAAAAAAGTTAAAGTTAATTCTCGTTCATTCTTTTGTTAAATATTTGTTTAATGCAATTTCTCATATTCATATTCATATTCATATTCATATTCGTTTTTTCGTTTTCATTTCACTTCTTTGCATGGTATAAAAATATAAATGTCCACATTATACTCGTACATAAAAAATCCCATTTTTTGTTTAAGTTTTTCTTTTCTCCTCATAATAAAGTGTTTGTCGTATTTGCTGTCTATGCTTTATCGAGGGTATTTTTAGGGTAGATTGTAACTTAGGAATGCCCGTGTGGATGCTGTGGAACTACAATTCGTTTTTCGCGGTGCATTTTCGAGAGTTCTGATCGAATGTGGGAGTGTTGGCTATCGGTGCGTGGGGGTTGCGGGATTGTGTCGAGTAGTTTCGGAGACCCTGCCATTTGACCCCTACAGTGTCCTAAGTGTCATTTAATTTTTGTTTTCGTAGTGGCTACCAGTGGAAAGCGAACATCGCTCAACAATTCTTCATTCCTAATACAATTACAACATTTTAATTGTTTTTTAGATTTTAGACTTTAGTTTTGCTGTTGTTGTGTTTGGTTTTAAAACGTTTTAAATGTTTAGCAGACATTTGTTAATGTTGTTCATAAGTCTAATACTTTGTTGTTTCTAGGGTGTGGTATTTCATTTATTTATTATAATAATAGTTTGATAAAAATAACTTAATTAATATCAGTGTGGCTTACCTTAGTTTAATATCGAAAGGTTTGTTTTTCGTTTCATAGTTTTAATACATATTGATATGCCTTTAATACGATTACAGATTACACTTTACGGTTTACTTTTTACGGTTATTACATTATTACATTATTACATTTACGATTACGCATTTTGCTCTCCATTAGCTATCTCTCTCTCTCTCGGTCTCTCCTTAGTCTGCGACACACACTGAACTCTAGGGTTTTGTTGACAAATGATCTATCATTACTTTTGCTTAGCTTTCTTGGGTTTACTCTTGAACAATATATTTTATTTATTTATAGATATAGACATACCAAGTACACGCTGTTTTTTCTCATTATACAATAGTTTTCTTCTTGGATCCAATTTCACTAAGTGTATAAAATTTCTAATTACCATTACGCTTCCAGCTCCATTTTCGCTCCAATTTATTTTATTTTACTTTTTTGTTTTAGTTTTTTTTTTTTTAAATTTTCCTCTTGTCACTAAGCCAATTTGTAAAACGTTTAGTACAAATACAATATTCCGTGTATATATATTTTTTGGTTTTTGTTTTTGTATGTATATGTATATAGATATATATATATAATATACTGATATGTTTTGCCATATAAATATTTCCATCCGTAAGCTAAACTTGCTCTCTAGCCCGCGTTCGATTCTTTATTACAATTTTATCAATTTGCTTCGGTTGTTAATTTTCGCAAACAATTTGTTTTTGGGTTGTGCTGGACTTGGGTTGGGTCTTCACATTTATCTCATAATTCATTTCATTTTCAATTTGTTCCAACGCCAAGGGTTTTTGTACAATACAAATGTCTGTCTGTTCTCTTCTTTTTTGTTCGAAAAATTTCCACTTGGTTGTGCATACAATTTGTTGTTGTTGTGTGGTTTTCCCTGGGAAAGCAAATCGAAATCAAGTAAACACCTCAACCTAGTATGAAACCAATGCAATTGTTGGCCAAATATCGTTAGGCGACAAGGACGACTCCTTCGAACTGAAAACGCAACAAAAATTTGTGCCATTAAATGCGCTCAAGATGTGGCGTGGCTGGCCCCTGGCCCTCTGGCAAAAAGGTGTCTGGTTTTTAGCGAATGGAACGCAAGTCCATTCGGGTCTACAAACATTTTCAATTATCAAAAGTTCTGTGTTGGGAGACTGGTCGCGCGTCTCTGGGGGCCAGGTTCCTACAAAATCAAGCGTCCTAATACACAAAAACAATTTCTTGGTTGGGTTTTGGTTTTGGTTTTGGTTTTGGGCCCGGCCTCGCCACGGGTCCGCAGACGCTCGTGTGATATGCAAAAATTTTGTTAGCTGGCTCTAATTTCAATTTACAAATTTGTTCAGCAAATAGCAATCGTTCAGCATGTCATCAATCCATTGGATCGGCACTAGCCGATGCCACTAGGTTCCGTTTTTAACAAATTTGCTGCACCGTCTGCTGCGTGCTGCATAAACATTTTTCTGCGTTTTTCTTGCCGCTTGCTACATTTTCTTTTTTATTATTATTTAACTTTAGGTGTGTGTGTGTGTGTGTGTGTTGAGTGTGTCTTTGTGGTTTTCTTTTAGAAAACTCCTTTGGTTCCCAAGGCGGCACCAATGTAGAGCAGTCCAGCGAGCAACAGCAGCTGCAGCGTGGGTGAAATGGAAGCACTGCCCGAGTCGCCATCGCAACCTGTACCTGCCAACAGAGTGGAGAGAAATGAGTTTAGAACTGGTTGAAGATCTCCGCTCTGTCTGAATGATTGGAAACAGATGGGCAAAATGGGTTGAGAGTATGTGTTGGGGGGTTCTCCTCCAGCAGCTGCTACTTCGGCAACCGATCACAAAGCCTGCAGCCTACTGCAGTACAAAGCCAAATAAAATTACGAGTATTTATTTATGTTTACAATTGAGTAAGTAAAAGCATAAGCAGTTGGTTTTTGGTGCGTTTGTTGGTGCATTCGAAACGAAAAGGAAAAAGAAACAAAAACGAAAGAACTTTACTTTACGCGAACTTACCTTGACCAAAAATCTCCTACAAAACGTTCTGCTATGCATTAATTTTTTTGTTTGTTTTATTTTAGATATTCTGTCAAAAGCTTGAAAGTTGTTTGGCCACAACAACTTCGGATAACCCGACAATGGATACTTAACGGCAACACCTTCGAATGGGCACGGCCCGAGTGGCGGATCGGATCGGGTCGGATCGGGTCGGGTCGGATCGGATTTCAGCAAACGAAAGCCGGCCGGCAAGTGCAGCATTTGCGCACAGGCATGACTCGCTCAACGACTTAATTTCTAAACCTCACTCTAAGGGGGGGGAGGGCGGTACAAAACGTGGTGCAAAGTGTGCAAAAAGCGTCTCAACAAAAATATAAACGAAAACAAAAGCAAACGCAAGTCAATTTCAAAATCAATCTTCCAACAGTTGGGCCATAAATTGGGTATATAATGTACAAAAATTGATCATATTTATCGCTCGCGTGAATTTAATTTTTGCTAATTTGAATTTAAATGGCTGAAACAAAAGCAAAGAAATAAATTGCCACAGCGCAAACAGACTGGTGGATACACAAAACATTTGAAACACGTGTCGCTAAACACACACAAGAAAACACTCAAACGAAACGAATCGAAACCGCAGGCCCCAAGAGAAAAGGCCAACACAAAATCATACAAAAAAGATATTGTATCTGCAGCGTTTTGTATCTGTACACGCGGGCACGCTGGCACGCGGGCACGCGGGCACGCGTGCGCCTGAGTTATGACACGGCAATCGCTTATTTATCTCACACTCCCTCGGAACCCCGTTCCATTCCCCCTGCCAGCTGGTGACATTTCGCTGGCTATGCGACTCTGCGGCTGGCGGTGCCAGCGTGTCTGGTATCACAGCAGCAGCAGGACGAGAGCGACCAGTTCCAGTTCCCATTGTATAAGATTAATACAAACTAGATCGGTGAGCGGCCGGCACTCAGTGAAATTTTAAATGGCCATTAAGCCAAAATGGGAAGCATTGTTGGCAAGCGCTCTCCATAAAGTCCATAAAGAATAAACCGCTACATATAGAGATGCAAATTAATGAATACTGCCAAATCCCGAACCGGTTCGTGGCCAAACCGCTGCCAGAAAAGGGGGAGCGCCGGGGTGCTAAGTGGAAACTTTTACCTCAACCAAAAGAGCTTCAAAAGTGGAGCTTGTCATATACGAAAAGCCATCCCGGGGTGGAATGATCGATTGGAGAGATATTTTAACCCTCTCCTGCTGCTGCTTCCCCCTGGGCTCATTTGCATGCCCGTTCGCTGGGGATCAGTCGGATTTATGTAAAAACCAAAATTAGCTCGAAACCCAATAGAAAGAAACAACAAAGCAAATACAACGCAGCAAATTAACATAAATTAAGTTTTTATTAATTGGTGTGCCAGTAATTTTCTTTTGTGCTCGCTACACGCACGAGTCATCAGTGGTGCCGCTCCGGACTAGACCACACCAGACCAGACATTGTGGCGCGGTGCGAAGCGATTGCGATCTTTCACCCAAAAACCCATAAACTGTACCACTGTCCACTCATTTGAATGGCCGCAGCAAGCTTTTAGTAAGTTAAGTGCAAAACATAAAAGTCAAACGCCCAGCCCGCGCTCTGCATGCAAATTATGTATGAATGATGTACAAATGTATGTAAATATGTATCTGGCGTAGCCCTTGGACTTATCATTGATCATTGTCAGTGGGCATGTATGCATATTCACATTTCTTTCTCGGTCAGTCGTCCGAATCTCTCTAGAAGCTCATTTCGCCTGATTGATGCGCACATTTTGGGCAACTGACAGGGCCGTAAATAAAGGCCTCGGGCCGAATGCTGATGCGCATAAATGTCATAAATTAAAAAGCAAAACTATTCAATCTTTCACCGGAATGAAGCTCTGACTCATGGCATAAATCTCGTGTCCAGCTCGAATGTAACTGTAACGCAAGCTCTGCTCAAACATCAATCTTTTCGGGCAGCATGTTGCAATCGGCTTACGGCTTGTCATGCTAATTAGCAAAGAAAAAGCTGAGTATGTGGTGTGAAATGTAAAATGGGCTGGGCTGTACGGGAGATATGATCAATAACCGTTTTCCATTTCATATTTTTAAATGCTTCGCTTGACCACAGTGAACTGCAGGCCGGAGAACGCGGGAGAGCTCATCGCAGCGCACATTGAGGTGTGGCCGGCACTGTCAGACGACAGACGACAGCCATTAGCGTGGCTTAATGCCACCTTTTTTACGATATATCGTGGCGAATACGAAATTTATGTTAATGGATGGATGCTACATGGCAGAACTTACACAAACACGAAAACAACACAAAAATAACAACGAAAGAAAGATAAAAGAAACAGCAAGCAAAGTGGAAGTGGAAGTAGAAACAGCAACCACGCGCCGCTGACTGTACTTTGGATTTTGTGCCTTTGTGCCACAATCTGTCCCATCAATCTGGTGGTATCCATATGGTCGACCACTCACCTGCCCAACTCCTGACTTTCGGTAAGTAATCGTTCCAGAAGGAACAGCGTGCGGCCAGGGGGCCACGTGCCAGTTTCTCGATCTTGTCATCCGTGCTGAATATGTAGTAGACGGGATCCTCCTTGGAGAAGTTTGGCCACTCCTCACCATCTTGTGCGGGATTGCTGTAAGCAAAGAGAAAGCTTTTATTATAGCAGGCTGTGCGCTGGTTGCGGCACTCGCTGAGCGAACTCTCACGCAGGCAAAAGCTTTCGGAGCCACAAAAAGCTCTTGCTATACTCACCCGGACTTGGCAAACTCGATGACCGCACTGAGCATACGCTTGCCCAGCTCACGCTCCACAGGTCGATACTGCAGAGAGTTGTTCAGCGGCTGGCCGAAGAAGTACTCAATCTCATCGCCATGCAGCACGCCCATCCACTCACCCCACAGCGAGGTGCTTGTGCGCTGCAAAAGAGAGAGGAAGAAAATAAACAGAAAGAAACGTAAGGAAACGTAAGTCAAAGTCGCAATAAGAGTGGGAGACAGGGAAGTCGACAGTTAGACCCGGTTACCCAGTCGTCGTAAATTCGGCCAAAAATTATGCAGATAAACATCCTACCCTTTTTATTTATTTATTTGATTTTGCTCCGCTCGCTGACTGTTGGCTGTTGGCTGCTGGCTCGCTGGCAAATATTGTCGCAGCATGCCGGAGAGCGCGCGCCGCGGAAAAAAACAACCAACGAACGAACGAATGAATAAATAAATGCCTGGTTGACTGCCAGTCAGCTGAAGCTGGAAACGCTGTCGCCCTTGACAGGCACAACACGGCAGAAAATGAACTCCCTGTTCGGCCTGAATGTTTACTGTTATCCTGAATGCAGTTGCATTTCGGCGTGCAAAGAGGGCCACAACAGCACGTAAATGTATGACGGGATGCAGAAGTTAATTTGTAGCATTGGGACATGCCACTTAATACCTAACAGCTGACGCGACAACAAATGCAATTATGCCTAGCAGGCAAAGACTTATTTTGCTTTGAAATATTAACCATTACCGGGAGAAGCCTTAATTATTGCTTATTTTCACATTAATTAAATATGATTCAGCATTCAGTCTCAAACAGTCCAATGAGATTCAGCTGACCGTAAGTCTGTTCTTAGGGTGAACGTAAGCCCAGCTCCAGGTCCACTTAGCCATTCAGCCCAAGTTGGCCGCAATCGGGTTTTGCATGAGCTGCACCTTGACAGGCCGGCTGGCAAGTGGCCATTGCCGTAGCTGCCAAGTCGCATAATGAATAGTGTCAGGGATCCGAGCAAGGCTGGAAGGCTGGAAGGCTGATAATGTGGAAGCCGTGGAGCTCGAAGTTGCTCGAAAATGTATGCAACTGTTGGCACACACACGTCGGCACATGCAAGTCCTACTGCTCCTTCCGCCATTTCGTACAAATAATGAAAAACTGTACGCAGCCATGGCGGAGAAAAGAAACTTTTTTGATTTAAGCGCAGAGCAAGTTGGACACTGAGGTCATAATGGGAAACGCCACGGTCGAGACGAGTCGAGACGAGTTGGCAGAGAGAAGAGGAGAGCAAAGTGAAGTGGCGGCGAATGGAGTGGGGAGTAAAGAGTGGAGAGTGGAGAGTGGAGAGTACAGCGGAGTGGAATATGAAAACTTATTTAAGTGCCAGGCACGTTGCACGCTGCAGTAGTCAGGCGAAGAAGGAGCTACAGCCGGAGTAGCTCTGGCTGGTCACTCGGGCAGCCAAGCAGATAGACAATCTGGCAGGCACTTTAGCAGCTGGCGACCCCATTTGCCATGCTTCGTCGCCCCATCGTGGCCGCCGTCAGTCTTATTGGACCCCGGGTCAGATCCCCTCTCTTCGTCTCGTTTATGGGCAAAGTGAGTTACGAGTTTTGTTGCGGCAACTTGACTTGGTTGTAATTAAAACTAATTTCATTTGCTTTCATTTCCATTCAGGAGCCAGCAGCTACCAAATTTCTCTGCATCTCCTGCTGCTGCTCCTGGCCAATGGATTATTAACAGACGATTGGATTTAAACAATGCAACGGACACACACACACACCCGGCAGCGCCAATCAGTACGGCTTATTGTGACATCAATTGGAAAGAGCAGCGAGGGAGCAGCAGCCCAGCACTGTACACTATTGATTTTATTTTCGTAATTTCCTGTTTTGTGTTGGCCAAAATTGCATTCAAATGGCCATTTATCAGCAGCCAATATCGACTAATTATATTCATACGTACGAGAAATCAATAATCGTACGCATTGTGTGTGTGTCGCTGCGTATTGGTTAATCATTAGGAAAGTTCAATCGGGAATCGGGACAAACCGCAGGGCAAAGTCGTTTAAACAAATAACTGAGGGAAATTATGCCCCACACGTGCAGGCCATGCCGGGCCGTGACCTCGTAAATTGAAGTTTCATTAGTCGACACGGACTAGTCCTCCTCCGCTTCTGGTACTGTTCCCTCTCCGCTGTCCCGTCCCTTAGCTTGTTGTTTCTGTTTCTTGCCCCACTGTCTGCCTTCTTGGCACAGGCAGTGCGTGTAGTTTAATTGGCGCTAGGCGACCGAGAGTGTGTGAGTGGCCCGGAGTGGCAGGGTGGCAGGTGGCAGGTCTGTTTGTATACATTTTGTGGGTGTGTATTGCGTGAAACTTTTGGTTACCATAATTATGGCGGCCAAGGTTGCCGCAGGAAAGGACACTCTTGCCCCACCCACCCTCCGCCTAGCTGGAGACACCCAATGAAGTCCAATCAAATGGATTGCACGCGTTCTGTGGCTGTCTTCAGCAAATTGCTTGATTAATTGAAAATGCCGCACGGACAGGACAGGTGGCATGGCAGAGTTGCAACCGGACAGCACGCGCTGTCCGTGGGCCCAATATCTTCATCAAATGGCGGTGATTTTTCAATCATAACAATCAAACAAAATACTATAATTTAAGGGTAAATACACACGAGCAGACTGCAGCATTATCGTAATCCAAGCGCTTGACGGTTTAATTGGATAATCAAATTGTTTCGCGGCTTGACTGGAGATCACGCAACATTCAGTTAGGGATTATTAAGTGGAAACCTAAGGCACTGTGGAAAATCGAGCATTAACTGTCTATTTCCCCTTTAAATTGCTTTTTTCAAGTGCCTCCGATAGTTCATCAAAAGCTTTAAAAGTTAAACTTTAACCTTAGCGCTGGCCAAAGGTTCCAGAACTTTTGCCCAAACAATTTTACAATAATTATGTAGCGGCGGGGCGGGGGGGTGTTGGCCATAAATAACACGAATCGTCTTCTATGCTTGAGCTATTCTTAGCCAGTGGCTCACACTCGACTGTGTGACATGCACCTGACCCCATTTGCGGGGCTAGAGAAACTTTCGCTTTCTGTGCTGCAGATTAACCGCAACGTGGCCCTCCCCCTGCGGCAGCCCTGTCCCGACATTAATAATTAAGGCAGACACACAGTCACGTTGACATTTTGCTCTGCCGCTGCTGCGTAGGCAACTCTCACTGGTACGTGGAACCTGCTGCGGGAGGCATGTTCTGCCATTAGCCTTGTGTGCAATTTTAATGACAAACAAATTGCAGTCGGCCAGGCCCAGCCCAGCCCAGCATTTCGTTTCGTTTCGTTTCGAGCATTTTTGCCTTTCGCGCCACTTGCGCCCCATTTGACCGCATTTCGATTGGACGAACGCAGGCGCTTCAACGCCATCTCACGTGTCAGAGCCTGAGAAATATTTAATGATTTGCCGGCAGTCTACAGTGGGCAGCAAAGGGAGAAAAGCACTGTGCAGTGCAGTTTGGTTCGTCGTAATCTTTTCTTTATGCTGGACAATGTTTGCCAATTGCGATCTGTAGAGAACGTAAAAATGAGCACGGACGAACTTGCTTTAACGCGAATGGCACGCACGACAGCAGAGCGCAAAGCAAAAACGACCGAGAGCGAATTCAGGCGGCAGCGAATTCAGAAGGGAGCGAATTTAAACGAGAGCGAAGAGCAGATCGCCGATAGAGAGTCCGGGAGAGATTCACTCCAGATAAAAGCTTTTGATGAGAGAATGCATTTACTTTGCATTTCAACACTTATTAACTGTTACTTGTAACAATGTCCCAAGCCACCACATAAATACATTTTGTTTGATAAAAATCAATATTTTCTAGGCAATATATGCAACGGTACTTACATGTGTAAAGTAATAGTAGTGCACGGAGGCGCCTCGCTCGGCTAGCGCCTGGGCATACTCGTTGGTGGGGCAGGTGAAGAAGTGATCGCCCACAGCGCGTCCGATTTGCTGCTGGTTCTGATAGCCCGGATTGCCCTCCCAGCTGGTGTACTGCAAAATAGAGAGCGCGAAGAGAGAGAGAGAGGTGGAGAGAGGAGAGGTTAGTTACTCAATCATGGGAATTAAGTTAGCTGTCAGTTTTGTCAACTTCCGCTCGATTAATCTCAGCTCTCTACGATGCGGACAGCTAATCCTGGATGCTGTCAAATCCATAGCTACAAGTGACGCATGGAATCGCAAAATTAGCTTTTCTGCTGAAGGCACAGACTAAATGGATAAAGCAACCAATCCCCCACCCTCCCTGAATGCAATTCAATCAGGCTGCCAGCGTTGCAGTCGCAGCAGTCGCAGCAGTCGTCAATGGAGTCCACACGTCAAACCGGCTCTGCGATTTGCATATGAATTTCGTTGGAATTGCAGTTTTCGGGCTGCTGCTCCATTGCACTTCTTACCTGGAATATGATGGCCTCTCGCTCCGCCTGCGTTGCCTTGCCGAAAATGTTGTTCATAATCTCCAGATACTTGTCGCGTGGCAGGGCTGTGGCATCGTCCTTATCGAAGTAATCGATGAAATCGTACAGCAAGAAGTAGGTACCTGCAACGACAACGGGATGCAGCTAGTGAGCAAAAGCGAGGTCATGCCACCACAATGTGCAGCCTGTGTGGCATGGATGTGTGTGTGTTTGTGCGTATGGGGGCACTGTTACTGCCACTGGAGCTCGATGAGGGTTCTGCTGGCGAATTCTAAAAAACAATTACCACTGCAGGCCGCTGAGGGCGCGGCAGTGGAAGCGGCTGCGGCGGCAGCGGCGGCGGCGGCGCTTCAAGATTCCGACTCACAATAGACGGGTCGTGCCAAGGACGTTGAGTGCAGCATTAACCCCACGACCTGCCAGCAGCCACAACAGCAATCACAGAATGGGCATGGGTGAAATACGAGTATGGAAAACAAAAACAAGAGGAACAAGCACACACTCGGAGACTCGGAGACACAACAACAGCAGCAGCGTAGAACCACAGCGAGAACAAAGCGTCTCCTTTGCGGCCTTTTATTAAGTTAATTTTTATGGGGCACTTGTTGTTGCACTGTCGCTGTCGTCAGGCCTTGTCTTTGTGCCACACTTCAAATATGAACACACTAACGAACCATAATTGCTCAACAGCCACAGCAGCAGCTGCAGAATCCATAAGGACATGCACACGTGTGTGTGTGTTTTTATTTGTGTGTTTGTTCGTTTCCATATGTTGATTTTTGCTGGCATTCAAGTAAATCCCAAACATTATGCAACAATTTGGCATTTGGCTAAATCTTACTCAAAATGTGCCCAAGTCACGTTCAAAATTGTATTCTTTTGTGCATTAGTTTCTCGGGGAATGATTTCTAGATATTCTAAATATCCATCGGGATCATCAGAGAGAAAAGTTGGAAGTCAAAATGTCCTGAGTCTCACTTAAATGATTACTAAAGGCAACAAACTGCTGTGGTTTCATGCTCCCACTTTTAATTAAATTGCCAGAAACACACACTCTGTGGCCACAAATTGTTCGACTCTCCCCAAACGAGTACACACAGACAGCCATGTAAATATGCTTTTAATGAGTGTATAATTGAGTTAGAAGCAGCAGCAGCAGCAGCAGCAGCAGCAACAGCAACATGAATATAAGCGGAAACATCGGGCTGATTCGATGGAGCACAGCAATGGCCAGGCCCGAGGCAGCTGCGACGACTCCGCAACGCGAAGCAATTAACAGGCAGACAAGCGATGGCTGGCAGAGGCATTTCCACAGCCGAGCAACAGAGACAACCAGAATAGGAAGTAGAAACCAAATTTAAATTATTTAAAACGCCAAGAAATCGTCGAGCTGCAGTGGATACATTTTTCATGCCATACTTGTGTGTACAATATGTATTTCTGGTTGGCACTCGGCGGTTCAGCGGGAAATGCTAGGAAATTTGCTTTATTTGGGGCCTCAACTTTAGGTTCCAGCAGCAACTATATTTTGGATTTACTTCGAACAAATTAATAAAAAAAAGTGGCAAAAATGTAACTTTTAGAATTTTAGATTCTGCTCTACTAGACCTTCTTGAATAAATCTCAGGACAATGCTTAAAATTTGAAATTTATACCAAAAATCATTTTTATTTTTGTTTTTTTCTGAAAAAAAAGTTATTTTACCTACAATTTGCCATTACTTCCCAATCCTAAATTTCACTACCATCACAAAGTTTCGTAGCACTTCCCGGTCAATACATACTTAGCTCGTCGTAAATTTAGCTGAGCAAATATTTTATTTAGAATAAAAATTAAGGACATACACACCACAGGCACACAAACACACACACAAATGCACGTACATGTGGCAGTAAATGTGAAGTCTGAAGGGGGAGAGGCAACCGAATTTGTCAAACACAAACAGAAAAGGATGCTTTCATGTGCGCGGCATAGCGCAATGTATTTGAGTTTGTATTCGTATTGTTGCAAATGCTAGATGACCTTGAACTCACAAACACAAACACAAACACAAACCCAAACCCAACACTCACACAAATACCAAAGCAAAGCTGCCAGGCCAGGCACGGTATCCCCTCATCGTGGTGGCAGTCGCCTGGCGGGCACGCACGCACACCTTTGGCCAAGAGAACGGCGGAGAAACAGGCAACGAACGTATAAAAATGTAAGCTGCAACAGGAATACAAAAAGAGCGACAGAGAGAATGAACGAAAGACAGAAAGAGAGAGAGAGAGAGAGGAGAGAGAGAGAGCGAGAGAGCGAGTGAGCGAGTGAGGGCAGAATAACAGCAGCTGTGAGCAATGAGTGAAAGTGAGCAGAAAGCACACGTGCCTGTTGGCAAGACGGCGACGGTGACAGGAACAAGAAATCGAAAGCGGACCAAAAGCACGAAGTAAACCAACGGACACAAAAGCACCGAGAATCTTCTTCAATCTGTTATACGAGAATAACAAAAGCAACACATAATACCCACTCCCCACCCCCACCACGTTCTGTGGTGGCTCGCGAAATAATAAGAAAAGGAAACACGCAAAAACCCAAAAGTTGTTCCAAGTGCGCCATTTTTCTCTGACCTGGGAGGGGAAGAAGCAGCAGCAGCCACGCAAATGTCCAGAAAGAAAGAAGGAGGGGGTAAGGGGAAGCCAAACAGATATTATATGAAGAGGGATTCTCATTGAATTGTACAACGAATCTTCACTTCATATTTATGTAGTTTAAACTAAATTTAGTGCCGGGTATGCTCTCTACGACTTTCTCTCTCCGCTCCGTGGATTTATCTAAACCTAAAAGAGTGCGCTGCAATGCTAAAAATATAGTTAACGTGCTTAAGGAAAGTCTATGAACATATTATGGACTGAACACATAACGATAACAAGTTTGCAGAGTTTCAGCAGAATCTTCGAAGATTCCTCTTTAAACTGCATGAAAACATTTAAATATTAACATAGGATCTTAAGCACATAAAACGCTAAACAGTGTCCTGCAAAAGTGTATTACTTTGCGGACTGCAAATATTTCGTGTTTCCTGCGTGTTTCAAGCTTCTGCGCTAAATCGGAAACCCTTTCTGCAAGGGTAAAATAATTACGACCAAACTTTAAGTCTGCTTGAAATAATACACGTAGCTGCCACAGTCCCCTTCCCTGTCCCAGGATGGTAACCCCTTAATAATAAGGCCATGGACGTAAAACCCCCTGCCAGTCTCTCTGTGTGTACGACAATGCTGCGGCACGTGTGGCACTCACGCGTCCCGTTCCGCCCATCAAGATGGAGGCCTCGCTTTTTGCTGCCTGCTGCCTGCTACCTGCTGCTTTCTGCTTGCCAGCCCCAGCCTGGCCAGCCCCTTGTCACCTGAGCGAAATATATTTAAATAATTTATGATGCCGTCCTGCACAGCTGAGCGCTCTCCGCCTCCCTCTCTGTCACTCTCTCTCTCTCTCTCTTCCACTGACGAACCGCATGCTTGACTTGGACTGTGTGTGTGTACCTGTGCCTGTACCTGTGTGTTGGTGTGCTGGTTTGTGCGTTCGTTGCTCGATTTTTGTTCTCTATTTTGTACTTTTTTCTTTCCCGTTATTTACGTGGGCAAGTCTGGCGCGTTCAGCTAGCGGCGCTTCAGGGTCTGCCCCTGGCTGTGGGTCTAGCTTTGGCTCTGCTTCTTATTCTGACTCTGCTCCGCTTACAATATTAAGACATAAGACCAACGACACTGCGGAGCTTTGACACGCACCACAATTGGAGTTTAAAGTTTGTATAATTCGTTTGCGTAGACAAAAGCCTCAAAAGCTGCAGCTACAGCTAGAGCCGGAGCGAAAGCCGCAGTCACAGTTAGAGGCAGAGCGGGAGCCACAGCCAGAGATAGAGCTACAGTTAGAGTCAGAGCGAGAGAGCGAGAGCCAAAGCCAGAGTCAGTGCGAGAGCCACAGCCACAGTTACAGTTAGAGCGAGAGCCAAAGCCGCAGTCACAATAAGAATAGGAGAGAGAGGGAGAGCGAGAGCCACAGTCAGAGACAGAGACCGAAGCCCAAAGCCGGGCAGAGCCAGCAGTGCCGAAACATTATACAAAGTGCAGTTTTGTGACAGCAGCAGCAGTTGGACGGGGGGAACCACAATAGTTGCTGGAACAGCATCCCAAGCAACTAAGCCCCCACCACAGTGTCATGCAATAAACCATAAAAATTAAGCACTCGAGCCAACAGCAAAAGCAGCAAAATGCATTACGAGCAACGGTACTCAGCAGTGTACAGAGAAAAATTTTCTAGGGGGGGTGGGAGGGGAGCACGGTTAAGCCGCACCTCCAAAGCGTGTACGAGTGTAGCCATGGCAACCGCCATAAAACGACAAGAACAAGAATAAAATGCAGGCAACAACTATTGTGCACAGCAGAAAATATAGATATGTACGAGTATAATGCCAGTGTACAGTAGTGGCAGAAAAGTAATAAAATCACAACAACAAAATAAAGGATGAAGAGCGAACTGCAGCAAAAAGTTTGCAGCAAAGTGCAGGAGGAAGGGCATGGGGCGATGGCTGAGGGCTGAGAGCTTGGCAAACAACATTGGCAATGGGTAGTACTTTGTTTCGGATAAAGTTTAGCGCTGACGTCAGCCGCAGAGGATGCAACAATGGCGGATGCGACAAGGATAACAGCAGCAAGAGAGATAGAGCGGTGGACAGGATGGGAGCGAAATGAGGCTGCTGCTCTTGATAAAGTCGCGACCCAAAAGGAAAAATTGAAGCAAAGTCTTTGGCCAACCCAAGAGAGATTCATTGCCTCGGGGGAGTGGGAGCAGGGACTGAGACTTACCCTCATCCCTGACATTTCCCATTAGTATGTCGTAGTCCTTGAGATCCGCCGTCTTCATCAGTGTCATGGGATCCGCGGGCAGAAAGGCACCATCAATGGTCGGTGCCGATGGGAAGCTGAGGATGCCGGAGTACGAGTTCCATTGCTGCACCGAAATGGTTTTGGCATCGACGCCACGCATGCAGCTCATCACATGAGCGGGATTGGTCTGCAGGAGAAGAAAAAGTTGCCAAAAATCGAAGCAGATAAAATGCAAGGACTCCTAACTCACCTTCAGCATGGAGGCATTGCAGTTGCAATCATTAATCAGCGCCTTGCCAATCTCCACAGCCTTCTCGCTGGTCATGTGACTCCAGGGTGCATTCATGGTGCCGGACTGCATCATGCCACGCTTGACCACGCCCCGCGTCACCGGCGACATTAGCTGAGCATTCACCGAACTGGACCCGGCCGACTCCCCAAACAGCGTCAGCCACTCGGGATTGCCGCCAAAGGCGTGCGCATTATCCTTGATCCAGCGTATGGCCAGCGCCTGATCCCACAGGCCCACATTGCCGGGTGCCTCCTCGGCAAAGTCTGCGGGCATTTCCGGGGCCAAATGCAGAAAGCCAAACGCACCCACGCGATACTGAAAGGACGCGACTATCACATTGCCCACCGCTGCCATAATATCAGCATTGTAGATCTCCAGGGTGGCCGAGCCGGTCATGAATCCGCCGCCATAGATCCAAATCAAAATGGGCAAGCCATTGGTCGTGTTCTGTGGATTACCATTGTGGATGAGATGATCCGTGTCCGCTGGCTTGGCGCCCGAGTGCTGTGGGATTGTCAAAGTTACGCTCTGTGGGGAAAGTCCTGGAACACTCACCTCTGCCCCATTGGCGCCTCTGCCATGTCGTAGACGCGCCTTGGCCGGCGCCCAAACATTGATGTACAGACAATCTTCAGAGACATTTGTGTTGGGATTCCAAATCTCCTCACCGGAGAAGCCCGGAAAGTATTCGTAGCTAAAGAGGGGAAGAGGAAGTTGCTTGATTACTGACTGACCCATATGCAAATCAAAGCTTCGTTGGTCTCTCTCTCTCTCTCTCTCACTCTCTGCCGTCACCCCACAGCTGGAATTCGGTCACGCCAATTACGACAAAAGCGAACCCAGCTGTGTGTTATTTATTTTACGAGTATTTGCTCATCCCCCTCTGGCCACACTGTCGCTTCTCACTGCCCCCCCCCCCCCCCCCCCCCCCCCCCCCCCCCCCCCCCCTCTGGCCACACTGGCCTGGCCTACCATTTGACATAGTTTTTTGCGCCTTATAAATGTTTGAAATGCCTCGGAATCGATATCCTCTCTACGCATTCGTACAAAGCTCAGCATTTGTCTGTGCGTTTCTATAGATACCTTTTGTGCAGATACACACACACACACACACACACACACACACACAGATGTATGTCTAGGTGTGTTTGGCTTCGTGTCCATTAAAATTAACTTTTGCCCGTTTCGCATAAAAGTAATTTATCACAGAGAGAGCGAGAGAGAGAGAGAGAGCGAGAGCGAGAGCTGCCTTTATCTCTTTATTTTTCTAATTTCCTTTTGCCACACACACACATCGATGACTGTGTGTGTGTGTGTGTGTGTGTGTGAGGCAATTATTTCAAGAGCAGAAACCGGCAGAGACCTGCCAAGCTCGGACTGATTGAAAGCGGCAGCGAAAACAGGAAGCTGCCAGCCCCAGGGGCAGCAGCACAACCCCCCAAGAATGTCTCTACACTTCCTTCCATCTGCCGTAGATGTTTTATTAAATATTTATAGCTGCTAATTGCAACATTAAAGAAGAAAGTTGAAGCCAGACAATGGAAAATAGGGCATACAAACAAACGGAACACATTTAATGCGTGAATTTGGAACATTTGAGAGATATTTCTGCCAAGAAGGAAGTAGTGATAGAAGCTCTCATCTGGGTATTTATGTATACCTTCAGTGTCATAATTTACTCTTCTGAAAGCTATAACTAAAATCTAAAACATCGCTGACTCGTATCTCCAAAAGAATCCCTTATGATAGTCCCCCAAGTTCATAGAAGTTCAACTATGTTAACAATGGAAAACTGAAGGCTCTTTTTTCACCACTCTTGGGACTCTTCGATGAGTCTACTCTCTCCACTTTGAGACCTCCTCAAAGGCAATCTTTCTACTCATTAACAGTTTTCTTCTACAATTTTCTAGCCCAACCAACGGACAACAAAGAGATAATTAAATGCAATTGCAGAGCTGGCTGGTGCTGACTTCTGGTTCTGTTTCGGTTTCTGTTTGACCGGCATTTTAGCATGCGGCATGACGTCACTAGCAACAGTTAGGTCAACAGCGTGAACAGTTGCAAAAGTGCAGCCGGGCTCCAGCTTGGTTTCTGGGTCAACTGCAGAAGTGGAACGACCCCCCGCTCGACTTACCGCTCTTGGACGCAGGTTGCCGATAGACGTGTGGCGTCTAGGACGCCGTGCCAGGGCTCCGCCGGTACCGGTTTGCGAAAGCGCAGGTCCTCCACCGGCGGCTTGGCATAGGGGATGCCCGTGTAGACATGCACCTCGCGGCCCTGCACTGTGACGGAGCGGCCGCGCACCGGGCCGGATGATGTCTGCACCACCAGGCGATCGATGACGCCGCAGACGCCGGAGAGCTGCAGCGAAAGTATGAGCAGCAGCGCCGCGGGGAGCGCATTGAGGAGGCTGCTGTGCTGTGTGGAGGATGCCATGACGCGGATGCGCGACAGCGCCGGAAGCGTATGCGCCGTGCGGTGTCCTACTTGACGCTGTGACGTCACACCAAAGTGGCCAGCAGCTGGCAGCTGGCAGCAGATTTGGCTCTGATTACGTCTGCGGCGTAAGGGCTTAAGGCTTCGGTTTCTCCTTGCGGCTTGCTGTGGTTTTTGGTGAATTTTTCTTATGCTTTGACGCGACTGTTGCTCTCTGCTACAACTGCAACCAGCAACCATCGGCGCAGGAATACTACAATTGCCGCAGGACTATTATCCAGTTGTGCTTGCTGCTGCTGTTGCTGCTGCTGCTGCCACAGTTGCCACTTGAAGCTGCCGTATGTGTCTTGCACTGAACATTCTTCCACAGCCTCAGCTCGGTCTCGCCTGGGCCTGGCCTGGGACTCGGCACTGGCTGTTGCACTTTTTGCAGCTGCAATTTGTCTCTACGCTTCCTGCTCGGGTTGCCTTTTGCCTTTTGCCTTTTGCCTTTTTCTTTCCTTTTCCGTTCCGGTGTGGTCTGCCTTCTGCCTTCTGCCTTCTGGCTGCTGCTGCTGCTGCTGTTCCTCCTCCTCGCTGTGTTTAAACTGCAAATAGAAAGGACAGGCATTAGGGTATTTGTCTTAGTTTCCTGCCAGTGTGCTTTGAGCTTTGTTTAATTTTTGTTTTTGCTGCCTCTATCACAAGTTGACTTCTCCTCTGCTGCTGCCCCCATTTCTATGCTACAATATTTAAGTGTGTTTGCATTTGTGTCGGTCGTATGTCTCTGCAACAGTGTGTGTGTGTGTGTGTGTGTGTTTACCACTTCAACAGAGATGCAAAGGCACAGAGAAAGTCACCTGCCTCGGTTTCGCATTCACAAGTTTCCCCCCACATGCACATTGGGGCCGGGGCCACTCACATCTGCTCTCGAGTTGTCGCTCTCTCATATCGTTTGCCAAGTCTCCTTAGTCTTCACATAATTTCTCAGATTTCTCATACATTTATGGCTGTCGTTAAAGTCACTTGACCGATTTATGCAGAATATATATTTGCAAACATGCAGAACTCCATTCAGCAATCGTAAGTTGCGGGTTCTTAGCGTAATTGGAACTCTTTGAGATACACCTAAACATGGGTAACTAATTGGCAACTAAATGTTACTTTTTCCTGCCGGTTTCTTAATGCATTTTCTACAATTTTTCTGCCATTTTTCTTTACTTTTTCTACAATTTTTGTCTAATATTTCTACAATCTAAAATTGTTCTGCAACAGAAATAGACAGAATTTTGAATACTTCTACCAACCACTTCTAATTCCCCAAAGTTCTAGACATATGTCCTTGAGTTTAAGTTTATTTTGCACATTTTAATATCACTTTTTGTACTGGTTTATTCGGGCTACAATAAATGGCGATACTTCCTTGAAAACTTTACATTTTGAAGTGAGTTTTCCCTGTGGAGTGTATGCACTGCTAATGGAAAGTTAACAGACAACACTTGTGCCACAAATATCATTCGAAAGAGCCCAACTATCTGTCCCACACACACACACACACACAAATTAGGCGATGCCATTTCATTGGTTGGCAAAAGTTTTCTGTGTGTGTGTTTTGCTCTATAAATATGGCATTTGATGCCAGCTGTCGTCCTGGGGAGGCTGCAGCTTGATGGGAAACAAGACAAACAAAAGAATGAGCAAACATTTTGCCGCAGCAAATAGCTTAACCCTGTCCTGTCCTTGATGCGCTGCCAGCTCCGCGTTGCAGCGGAACTTTCGATGCCAAATTGAGCCGCGACCCGGACATGCCCGATCCGGCCCCGTGCCAGTGGCTTGCATGCTGGAGGCCCATTAAACGGGGCCCGTATAATAAACTCCAAAGCTGCCACACCCCCCACACTACGTGCGCCCAACTGCACTGCACCTTATGCTAAGCAGCTCTCTCTCTCTCTCTCTCTCTCTCTCATTGCTGGCGCCGCAGTAATTTAAATGTTATTTTGTGGCACAATTAAAGTGGCATTAAGACGCCACCGAAATGCGGCTTACAGGCTGCCAATTTAATTCCCTGCTCCTGCTCCTGCTCCTGCGGCCCCTCTGCACATTTCAAGCTAAATTAGCTCAATTTTCTACATGTTCTTTGCATTTTCATTTCTCCTCTTTGTTGCTCACACTTTTCCCTTCTGCTGTGGCAGTCTTTGCACAGTTCTCTCCCATCCCCCGTCCAGGCTCTGTCAACAGCGCCTGCTGCTGTGCAGATAAGACCCGAGTCCGGACCTAAGTGAATATTTTCTTAATTTTTTGCGGCTGCAGCAGTTTACTGCCAGCCCCAGCCCCAACCCCAGGCCGCTTTTACTGGAAACTTTCCATGGAAACGAGTCAGTTTTTAATGCGACATGGAGGCGGAGTGGGCGTGGCACACTCTTCTTTCGTCTTTTCGCTTAGTTTCAGCTGACACGGCGACATTTTTCCTTTGCCAACTGTTTTCATAAAGTGCCAGCTTCAAAGTTGTCTGAAGGAGCAGCTAAAAGCTTCCAAAGTATAAGTACTCCATGGAGTTCTGTCAGAGCTTAGGTCAGAAATTGTCCACAATTTTCCTGACTCAAATCTGAATTCATCTGCCGGGAATGTCAAAATTCGAGCTCGTAATTATTTTTGCAGCTTTTATCTAGTCACAAAGTGAATCAAACCTCAAAAATAATTTAAATATTGCAAATAATTTAAATTGATTTTTGTTTTTTTTTTTAATTCAATTTTTAGTGTTTTTAATGTGATTTTTAGTCTTTTTTTAATATAATTTCTAGTTTTTTTGCTGTGATTTTTTAATTAAAATTCTGTTGACGCTGTGGCAGGATTTTCCTCATAAACATTTCATAGTTTTTCTTGTGGCTTTTTGGTTTTCTGTGCTTTTCCATGGAAATCACATGAATACCCCGTTTGGCGAGCGACACCCTCAGCAATGGTGTCATGGATATGATAACAGACAAAGAAAAACAGAGACAGAGCAAGTGGGAGACAGAGAGGGGCAGAGAGAGAGCTAGAAGGATAAGCGCGAACAATTTTAATGACATTCAAATGAAATTATAATTTCAAAAGTTTCGCCAGCGCGCCATGAGAACGTTTGTGATGACGATGATGACAAGGACATGACCAGCACCAGGTGAAAAGCGAGCGGGCGACACTAGTGCCCCTCCAACACCCTCTCAACACTCCACCCTCTCTGTCTTTCTCTTTTAGCGCCCTGCCTGGGTCAGTATTCGTTGGCCAAAGGTCAAAAGGGGGAACACAGAAACAACGATAAAGGTTTGGCTGCCTTCCACGACCTCGGCGCTGCTCCCATTCAACTCTCTCTGGCTCTCTCCATCTCCTCCCCCGCACCTTCTTTTGTTTTCAAAATTTGGCGAATGCTAAAAAACTTTGCTAACGACAAAACGAACGGTAAAAGCCAAAGGGTAAACAACACAAAGGCAAAACGAAACAAAAACAAAGATGAGAGACACCAGAGGGTGAGCGAGGTTGCTGGCTGAGGAGAGCAACGTAACGGGATGGGACGGCACGGAACGGAACGGTACGAAACGAAACGAAACGAAGCTTACGGGTTTTTGATGTTTGCCGTGAATGTTGTTTCTACCACACATACACATAGGAAATATTGTACGTGCCTATTAGAGATGGGAAGTGGGAGGACGACAACGAACGACATCACGCACGATTATTGGATATAATACATATTTGTAGTTGAGCAAAGTCAGGCAGGAATAAGTGCGAATATCTCGAGAATTTCTGTAAGTTCTCCTCGTTCTTTATTAATATTGAAACATTTTGCAAAGAGATCTCTTTGGCTGGCTTAAACCAGCTCGAAAGCGATGTGCACGAAGTGTCACGTGTCACGCACCCTATCAACGTATACCTCCAACCTGATACATATCCGTCTATGTCGATGTAAAAATGTGCTGTTTAATTGGTAGGTTGAAGAGGGTAGTGGCAGGCAGTTTGGAAAGAGCAGGGCTGAGGGCAAAGCAGGCTGAAGGCAGCGCAGTGGCAGAGGGCAGAGCAGTCGAAGGGCTGGCAATCGGATGGCAGTTGGCGACGCTTAATTGATACCCAAAACGGCAGAGGTGTGCGAGACAGGTGTCTATTATGGTGCTGAATACCTAAAGGACTATTGGCTAATAGTGTGACAGGCACAGTTGACTGGGAACTTAATGGTGGTGTGGCATCCAAGGAGCAGCTTCAAATCATCTAAAGATTCAAATATCTCGTTGAACACATTCTGTTTAATCTTTTCCAGGCCATTTCCCTGTGCTCGCTCCCTTCCGGTTAATAAACTTCCGCACAATCATTAAACCTCGCCTCGCCATGGGCCCCCTAAAAATATGACCATCTGCTTTAATGGGGGGCACAATCTTCGTCAACTTGCCACTGACCGTTTGACCTTTTGGGGCCACAGCAAGTGTCGGCAGTCCGATCACAGGCATCAGCGCCATTAGGCGAATGTCTGGCGCCAGCCAAACTATAAAATAAATGCACAGGCGTGGCGCCAAATCGTAGCCAGGGGTGCCGGACCACACGACAAGCAAATGACCCAAACAACGACTAGCAGAACAGAGAAGAGACGGAGAATGTGACAAGAAGTTTCGCCTCTGACAGAAGCTGAAGCTGAAATCAGAAGCTGATTTTATTTTCTAGTTGGATTTTGAGTTGATAAAAGTGCAACGCAGCGGGAGGAGTTTTCATGAATTTTACGCTAATATTGTTGAGGTATAAAAACTTTTTAAAAGTGCAAGCACATGGAGTATTGAACTCAGATTTCTTGATTCTGCTCTGTGTAATTATTCTCCCATCAAAAATGCTTTAACTTCATTTAACACAACCAATAAACTGCATCACCGACTTGCACTTCAAGCTGCTGAGTGTGAGTCAGACGCTGACTTTTAGTGGAGGTTTGTAACGGTAAAACTTATATGAAGACCAAAAGAAAATGCAAACTACGCACCGCTGCAGCGCTGGCCGAAAGGGAGAATGGTGCAGCGAGAGAAAAATAACAGTGCACGCAGCAGAGGCGCAGAGTGCGGAGCTCGTAGCAGACGAGCAGAGAGCAGAGCTCGCAGCAGAGGAGTTGGGAGCAGAGATCACAAGAGAGGAGTGGGGAGCAGAGATCACAACAAAGCAGAGCAGAGCCCGAAGAGGAGAGCAGAGCAGAGGATAACAGAGCAAAGCAGGTAGCAGAAAATGTCATCGCAGCGCAGCCCGTGAAGAGAAGACTGCGCTTAGTTTTTGTTTTATTGCACGTCGCTGCATGTGGTGGCTCTCGGGGGGTGAGTGCCGGTACAGCCCCACCCCCACAACATTAAACAAGTGCCGCGTGGCCACGTCCGGTGCACGACTTTGGTTTTTAGTGGCGGCATTCGCCCGTCAGCGGGTACGTCGTTAACGCGGAGACGCTCAATTTGGCGCTACGCTTGCCTGCGCCTCGGTCGGTGCGACTGACCTTGATGATATCACCGGCAGTCCTCCCTCCCCCCTGTCCACACACTTTCAGTTCCTGTTTCGGGC